TGCCGCAATATCGATTAGACTGTCATGCCCTCTATGGCTCGTAACGACTGATCCACCCTAACGAGGCTGTCCTCAAAGTACTCCAACTGTTGAAGCGCCATAAATCACTAAGTCTAGATGACTTAACTCCAGCCCTTTTTAAAAATGGTGGCGACTTTCTGACTATTAAACCGACTGAGTTGTTCACGAAGGCCTGGAAATTAGTGTTCTAACATCGTGGAATAAGTCAACAGTTGTTCCTGTCTTTAAAAAGCGTTCACGTCGTCCCTACTACAACTATCGGTGGATAAGCCTAATTCCTATCGCATCCAAAATATTGGCTTCCGTCATACTTCATAGATTGTTCAGGAAGACTGACTCGTGAAAAACAGGCTGATTTTCGTCCTGATTGAGGATGTATTAATCATATCTTCACCCTTCGCCAAATGTTAGAACACTGTCATACTTATCATAGGTCAACAATCGTAGTGTTTCTTGACATTAGGGCCGCCTTCGATTATTTGGACGGGACTGTTCTCTAGGTTTGCCTGTTGAAAAAGGGCGTCCCCGAAAAGATTACTAACATCTTGAAAGCCCTATATACAAACACCTCAGACGAAGTGAGAGCATACAAATCACGTTGACCGGAATGAAATGACACTAACTTGGTCAGACCCGTTTTTGATTGATCTCATTAAATATTCTTGCTTTGTTCCTCTGTACTATGTAAACTTAGATTACTTTGATTTTATTTATTCTCTGAAGAATTGGTTTACACTGAGTCACGAAATTGAATTTTTCTACTCATCGGGATATTACAAATATATCATTTTTATTAAAGGCATCATGTCTTGAATGTTTCATTGGCGTACCAATGAGCACACTGCCCATTAAATTTTAGATTCTGAGTTGTAGACAAGGTCAGAATTGCTTTGCGCCCAGTCTAATAGGAAGAAGTTCACTCCCATTAGAGTCGCTTCACATCCATTGAGTTTACATTTATCATGTTAGATCCACCAAAGTATCTGTCACGTTTGAGCCACAGCTGGAAGTTCAGCTGACACTCCATACAATAAATAGCCACTTAACATAGGTACATTTTGACGTATCTGTTTTGTTGATGAAGCTGATCTTTCTTTTATTCTCCTGACTATCTTCTCTGCCTTAATCTTATTCGGAACATGATTTTTCTCCATCGGCTGTTTCACGATAACTTCATACTTTGCAGGAATGTCAACTAGACTTCGCTATACGATACTGTGCACAACTCCAAATCCTCTTCTCATCAATTATTTTCTTATTTCTGAATGTGCAACCAATTTATTCTATAGTCATACTTTCACTATAACTAATTGATCTTAATTTAATGTAATAAGATCAAATTTCCTGTCATGTACAACTATACTCAATACCCAAATAAATTATTTTAAAACGAACTGCTTTTTACTTCAATTCCTTTCCCTTTATTAATGTGTACCCCTTTTGAGGCTTGCTCTTGATTTTTTATAGTCAGCTAACATTAATGAGATTACTTTATTATAATACTTTTTTTCACTATAATTTCTAATTATTCTCTTTAGTTATAAAATTTAAAGTTCACCTCATCACTTATGAATTCTGCTGCCACCTTTGCGGTACTGACAAAAAAATACTAATGAAAGTAATTTCACTTAAACTTACTAGACTATTTAAAAGTACCAACAAACAAATAACCTGAAATAAGACCAGAAAATATATGTAACTATATACAGATATTTATTATCAATCCGAATATTTATAATCAATGCACTCCGCAACTCAAGCTGTTTGCTACATTAGAATAAATGGTATTTTTTGACACATATTCTGCAACCTCATACTGAATTGGACTGGTAAGTAAAACAGCTAGTATGAAGCAGACTTTGTAATGAAAGATGCTGACCACCTGTTACTTAACACACTCAAATAACATCACCTAAGCGACTATGGCAGAGCATTTGATAATACACTGAGATGATTGCCTAATAGATTAATGTGACTGAATTTATAAAGTGATGACAGGGCAATCACTCCTCCAAAAATTCGGTTATTAATCATTGTAGAATAGATTTTTGGAAATAAGTGTGAAATATGATATATTTGTCGATTTATCTTTGATTCTTGTTTACAATCCGTTATTCAGTGATTGTTATCTCTAAAACAAATAATAAAAAATCTTCTTTTATTAAACCCATGGTCAGGAAGCCGTACCTTTTGTTGCTACTGTACATATTACTATGTCACTTCGAAAATTCCTTATCGACTGCTGGTGGCTTTAAAGTTACATGCTATCATATCAAGATTTTACAATCGCATATAGATTATGTGTACATGTGTGAAAACGCTCAAATTAAATCACAAAAATCTAATATATATGAACACAATGGTTCTTGTAACTTGTGCTCGAACGAAATGCATCAACAAATCAGATTTTAAACAAAAGTACTTAAAAAATAAAACAAGACGTTTCCAGTGACTGTTAATTGTTATTTGCTGGGGCCTTCTTTATGGCATCTTTCATTTTTCTTTATGGTAAATTACTAACATTAACAGAGAGATGATAAGAACTACAGGGAGAAAAATGGAGTGAGAGAGAAAATATTTGGGGAAAAACAAGTCACAGAACAAAGCTCGCATATATATTTATACAAGCCGGGTTTTTGAATACAGAGAGAAAAGGAACCACGAAAAACTGTTTCCAATAAAAATAATTCTACACTCGACCAATAAAATTACATGTATGTATAATTATGTTTATGGGAAAATACAGAGAGAAATAAGAAAACAATGACGTCAAGAAGTTTCAGGATAGGCGATTTAGTCATAACTAAACAACAAATATGTAAATATATATGTGTATATTAAACATAATTCTGGAGAATAAAAGCAATAAACTTTTCTTAAATTAATGCACCATAAACTGGGGGAGTAGTAGGGAAAATAAAAATTATTGTTTGAAAAATCGAAGGTTGGTAAACTGTGAAGTTGCTTTCTCCATACACGAAGAGAACATTATTTGAATGTAAACATAAAATCACGATGAGAGAGGATAGTGACCAAAAGTCGACAAAATAGCAATCAGTACTGAACAGTAAATGGACAGTAACCAACACATAGAGATACTCTAAAACTCTATGAACAGTAAGTTCCCCTCCCCATTTAACATGGACACAAGCATACAATTTTACGAGCCTAACTGACAGAGTTACGTGAAGGATAATTTTGCAAAAACACATGGTCAATGCAACCAAATATGCATGTTAACTGTTATTTTCCTTTTTTTAATTGAACTAGCATACATGAGAAGACATAAACACAGAGTCTTGTTTAAAATAATCACAGTAAAAGGTTATAAAAGGCCAAACCACAAGAATGATATATAATAATATATACTTGACGCTGAAAACGCTACCGATATCTTAATTTAAGCTTGAAGAAAAAGGAACAACGGTGAATTAATTGAGAACTGAAAAAATAGAGAACATCCGAATAGAAAGATAAATAACAAATAATGATGGCGTTAACAAACTGTCATGTAGTGAATTATCCAAAAACGGAAGGAATTACTTCACTTAAACGAATGAAAGTATTCTGAGTGCAAATGCATCAGTGGAATAAGAATGGGGAGTGAAATACGTTGAATACTTTGTTTTTAATCCATGTATGTCAGGTGAACAATCAACACGATATCCATAGTTCAGAGTTGTAGGCAGGAAACACAAAATATTTTTGCATAGACTCGCAGATATGAAGTAACTGCCTACAAAATAAATCGGTTACCGCAACATTGACAAAAATACTTAATAATCGTAACACTAACAACGAAATACATCAAATAATAGTAAGCTCAATATAAAAGTTGGCGAATATGTGATTGGTGTTTGATACTATGAATGGAATCGCATCAATTAGGCTCAGAATAACTCTAGAGTAAGCAAACTAGTGACGCTATATTTTAGTAATAATAACAACGTCTTTTATCCAAATACCATCGTATACATGAATAAACAGTGAACATATATACATAACATAGATCTGGAATATTTTAATCGAATGCCAATACTTTTGAAACCCTACCAAATCGCACACAAAACTTCTAATTAATATCAATAAATATTACTTGATGGTTCAATTAAAAGCAGGTAACACTTCAAACTTATCTATAATGAAATATCTATAGTCTTCTTAAGCTATTACCCGTCAAAAACCACATCTTATGGATATGAAATTAAGTAACGTACAGTTCAATAGATGAGAATTCAAACAGATATTTCAACACTATTAAGTCTGCATGTGACACAGGTTGGCAGTGAAGAGCAAATCAGCTTTCTGAGTAAATACTAAAAGTCCATCTGTAAGTGTAGACAACTGGAACTAAATAAAAATGTAGCAAATAAGTGATGCAACCTATACGCTTAACTAGTAATTATTTGATTGAGTGACTAGACATAGGCAAAAAAACCAGTCGATGATAGAAACATTTAAAATCTTATAGGTAAAAAACAAATTTGTTAAGTGATCATAGAAATTTACTTCTTTTCAATGAGATCAGTCAAATGAACTTAATTGACAGCGTCAATAAAACTGATTCAAATATGTGCACCCATCACATTAAACCTTGGGAAAAATAGAAACTAGTAGAAGAATACACACGAAGCAAGACAGGAATGGGGATAGTAGACATCCTCATCAAGCAATATACTGTATCATATTATAACCACATATTCTCTTCATTTATTCACGTTCTTATTGTAAACTTCCTCCTCACCTCCACCAGTAAATTTAATCATTTCGATTTATCACTACATTTATTTTGTCACGTTAAAACATGTCTATTCATCTGACGGTAAGACCGGTTGTTTTGTCCTGATAATCTAACTACCTACTAATTATCAGTTTAAAAAATCTTTTAAAAAATAAACGTTCTGTATATGTAAAACTATGAAATCGACAAACCTGTTCGAAAATATTAATGGAGAAATACATTATGTATATATATATATTCAATTATTTCTGACTTGACATTGAGAAACCGCTCGAAGGATATACGATAGACAAGCTTGTTGTCTAGCCTCAATAATCATAAGGATCACATGAATCTAAGACCAAAAGATTTTAAAGAATAAATAATAAAACATAGGGGATAGAAGAAAAAATGATAAATAATAATCCAAGAACAACTAACCCTGTACGTATGTCTAAACTGAAGTAGGTTAGGCTAAAGCACGAGATTCAAATATCTGAATTCAATGGTTGGAAGTCAAGATTTGTTTGGAATTTTAACTGGATCCTGATTTAATTATTTGAAGGTTGGGTGCTTTCCAAAGAGCCTGAAGTTCCTAAGTTCGATATCCGGTAGGGTTGTGGATGTGCACAATTGAGGACTTGCATAATTGGATGAAAAGACTATATAGTGCTTTCTAGCTTTTAACGATTTTCTAACTAAATTCAGTCCATGGTGCAAATTACAAGTAACAAAAGCTAATATCTAAAAACAATCTACACTTTAGTTATAAAACTGGTCATTCTAACAAGCATCTTTAATCTATTTGTGCAATATATTGAAGGAAGCTATCTGCATGGTATCCAATAGTAAATTCATATATTCAACAGCATTTTGAAGACTAGTGGACAGACGAATAGAATAGTGGAAAATCGCTACTTACCATTTCTGAAGATGATAGGGCAGGGAAAATATTTTCAAATTTGAGATTTTGTATTGTATAAACTGCAACTGGGAAAGTGGAACACAATTTTAAATAGGCACGTTGTGAAGTAGTTAACAAACGATTTACACGGTCATAACGAAAATCATCATGACATATACCGAAAAAACTTTGCACTTCATTCCAAACTGTACGACGATAAAGAGACGTATCGACATTTTGAATCCCGTTTAGACTTTAGAAGGAAATATGAGAAAATAATTATAATTACGAGATTATTGACGAAATTGAGGAAAATAAGGCAGTTTTAAAATACAACAGAACCTAAGTTACAAGTTTTGATTATCATAAGACAGTTATGAAAAAACAATCGATCGACAACGTACTTGCATAATTTCCGACAACGACTTTATGGTGATACTATGGACAATAAATTTAGGAAGGATTATCAGAAATATTTCTCCCTTGCAATAGATACAGTTGGATTAAATAGGTACTAGACGATCACAGTATTAAAAGTGTTTCCCCTCATTTTAACCTACACCCAGTTGAGAAAATGGACTCAAACGACCTGTACATCGTTTTGACGCCAACGCGTTATTCACTAAAATACTGAGCACAGATAACCACCACCAATTTCTTCAAAGTGTAAAATAAACATTATTCGAGAACGGTTTTCTTTAGCCTATTATAACGGGGTGAGCATTGAAGACGCTGGAACTTATGGGACTATTTTATGGACTATTACTAGTTATACTTTTAATATGTAATTATTAGACAATTGGATTACTGTATTTCTATATTCCCTATATTGTGAGCTCCATTTGGACCTTCCAACTAATTCCAAACGATTTACTATTCCTTAATTGCGTACCATTTGGTGAGTTCGATGCTACTTACAACATGATTGTATTTAGGATGCTTTACGATCTGATAATCCATGTATATAGACTGTTTGATATAGATATAATACTACTGCACTACTGTTTGCTGTGTTGTATTATCGAACCGAAGAATGGGCTAGGAGGACATACATTTTGAACCAAAAGAAACTAAGATTTATCTAGCCCTAAGCTCAAGATTAAACTCACTGGTTGACACCCTAAACAGAAATCGATCAATCCTGGTAGATATATAGGATGCCTAAGTAAATCCCTACATATATTTCCAGTAGCTATGTTTTAATAGACTTTCGGAGAGTACAGCATGTTAACTTGTTAAGAGTCAATATCGAGAAAATTAGTACACTCTCAGTACTCAACTTTGTTTCAACAACAAACGTAACTTTTTATGTATTCCTTTTTGGAATATAATTATATTGTTAATGTTCTCTCCAATAATCATTTGGCTGAGAATATGTTTGCGATAATTCTTGTACTTTGTATTCCAACAGGCCGAACAAGTTATGATTTTTCAAGTGTACAATTTACAAAAGGCGAAACGAAGAAGAAAGAACACCTTATTTCAACGAACAGCTCAAATTATATTAACAACAAGCACAGTGAAAGAAATGAATGGTAAAAGCATACTAAACTGATGGCCTTGAGTGAACCAATCAGAAGAGATCGTTGCTCTGGAACTCAATGTGCAATGAAGGGTAAGATGTATCTTACTTGAAATAAGTAAAAATGGTCAATATCTTGGTTTTTTATTTGATAAAAACATCTTAAATGCATCCACACAGTGAATATGACATGGTACTTAAGACAAATTACGCGAAATACTTACCTGATACAGACTGACTAACCATCATTAATAAAAATAATAATAATAATAATAATAATAATAATAATAATAATAATAATAATAATAATAATAATAATAATAATAATGGGAGTACTTAATGTGATTCAATTCATAAAAAATATTTGTGTAACCACTCGAACTCCTAGTTCGTAATATCAACTCTAGCTTTTGTAAGTTCATAAGCAAAAGAGTGGGAAAGCATCATTGCATTATAGTTGGTGATGAAAATTGTAACCCTAATTATGATTTATAACCTTAACCAACATCCGAATACCTTACCCTAGCTTTTCCCATTATAGCTTATTTCAATCCGTGATGAAAACTATAGCCTTTATTTACAACTTTAGATCAAGTGTTAGTAATTGAACTGAACATTTCTCTGTTTACTATAATAAATAACGCAACAAGCAAGGGTTCATTAATCATACCAAGACTACTCACTCACCATAAATTTAGTGCTTTTTGTTAAATTTTCTATAGATAAAACCTGTTTTCTGGTTAGTTAATAGGCAGCTCAAAGTTGTCAGTACACTTTTACCAAGTTGTAAACAAAAATATAAACGAATAACTACGGAATGAAATGGCAGTGTTAAAGGCTTAACTAATCTGAGCGTATTTAAGCTTATACGAGGACAAGGGTACTATAACCTATCATACTTGATGATAACCAAATTTATGTATTCTACTGATTAACGCTTATTTTCTATAAAGCCTAACAGGAAATACTAACAAATCTCCCAAAGTGGTGGTACAGTTCACACTTATGAACAGATGAATAAAAACTAATTGTTTGAAATGGATGAATCACTGATCAAATTAAGAGTGGACATAGTTTTTTTTAAATTCACCAAATGAACCTAGAATATTTAAAAACAAAATATGTCAAAATTACATTTAATCACACTCCAAAACACAAATTTCTTTCTCAACAAACATATGGGTGAACAATTGGTGTTTACCATTAATTAATTATTAAATCAACCAAATAAAAACCGACTGAACTTTAACAAAGCCAGTTTATTTAATAAGATTCCTATTTTAAAATGATATCAACCGAATAACTTAACAATAAAATAATATACCAGTGTAAGAGAGAGAATTTAACTTTGTTAATTTATCAATTTGTGATTGTTTGAACAGCAATTATGCAAACCAGAAAGCGCCAGTACAAATCCATATTTACTAAAGAGGAAAAACATTTAAACAGCCAAGTGAGTTGTCCTTCAACGTTAGTTTATTCGGAGGCTTGTATCAACAATTTGGCTTTGCTAAGTTATCAGTTAAATATATTTTAACAATTGAATTCATGAATCCATCTGAGCAAGACCACCATTGAAAATCTGGAAGCACTGGATGGCCGTTTCGTCCGTATGAGACTCCTCATCATCGCGCGCCCACGATTTCGCACGAGGGACTCGAACCCAGGACCTTCAGTCTCTCGCGTGAACGCTTAAGGTCTAGACCATTAAGTCTTCATCCGACGGTGTTAATGACCAGCGGATTCCAATCCGTGTCGTGTGCAGGACAATTATCTACTAGAGATAATGGATGAAGGGTTGCCCAAGATCATGGATCGAGTGAAGTTAGATATTAACACTACTGGATGACAACTTAGTGGTCTAGAGTTTAAGCGTTCACGCGAGAGACTGTCAATTACATTGGGTGAATGGAAGTCATTACGCCTAAATGTGATACAGTCACTGTCAGAAATATTTGAATACTTAACATTTTCTAGATGTCTTATTTACAACACAATAAATAACCTTTGGAAAACAACTAAAGATGATACACAAGAAGCCAAAAGAGTTAGATTGTTTTACGAACCAAACAAATACTCGTCCTTCTATATGGCAGCTAATTATAACAAGAAAACAAATCGAATGTAATCAAAACACAATACGATAGAATAACAAGCAATTTGAAGAAATATACTTACGTATTATAGGTCAAATCATAAGCATTTCGGAATTTCTCATCCAAAAGTGAACCTAGCTCAGTGCACAGACGATCAGCTAGAGGTAATCCTTCTTCTTGCCATGAATACTCCTAGAATATGAAGTTTAGGGAGAAAAAGATTATAATAGGATCAAATTGAATTTAATCAAACAATCATATTTACAAAGTAATTGAAAAAACTGGTTTACAGTATTACATCAATGAGCACAGCACATATACATGGACGTCATAGAACCTGAAGTGCGAATACATGTGTATTTAAACAACTGGACTTCTGTTAGTTTATGTAATATTTTCCGAAAGTTTGACCAGAATCATTGAAAAAATTGGTGTTTTTAATCACTACTATGAACTTTGAATCCCTACGCGTTCAGTTTGATGTTCAGAGACCAGTGTTATCGGTGAGCGGTTATCAAAAATACCCATATGAAAACCTATGCCTTTTTCACTTTATCCACTTTAGTACCAGTTATAATAAAACTACTATTCTCTTCTGCTTTTATAATTTTTGGAGCGGTAAAAGAGTTAATAGGGGTGTAGTGCAAGGTATTTTGCTTCAATGATTTCGTTCCTGTCATTTGCATAGTCAAGCTCACACGTAAAAATGTTACTTATCACTAAGACATTTAGAACTCAATAATAGTTTTTATCTAGACACCCTACACAAATGATGGTTACATCGGGGAATGAGATGAACTATTTTGATAGTAAAGGATCAAATCACATAAATGATGCATGCCAGTCATCCACATAATTTAACAAAAAAAGTGAGGATAATAATATTAATAGTAATAATAATGATAATAATCAATGAATATTAAAAGTAAATAGGGAAGTCGGCGATTGAGTAAGTATTTATATATCGTTTATTTACATAGGTATTCGGCCTCTAGACATATGAAGTATTTATTCACTTATTTTTTCACACAATGAACTGAAAGCAGTGGTTAACAATGATGCAAAGAGATAGTTGGTCTTATTATGAATAGATACAATAAATATAAACTAAGCCAATATACAAAATATTAAGAAATTTGATAATGGAGACAACTTTTTCCAAAAAATAATACGTCAATAAAACTGTACCCTTATCTGAGATGACTGTTACTACTACTGCGACCACCGTTTGTAATCATCATTATAAGTCATCTTATTTACCGCGAAAAACCATAACAATAAACTGTTTCTTTAGACTATCATCTATGTGTATGAGAGAAAATAAAATCAGTAAAAGGAGTATTGAACCCCAGTCTTGCAAAAAAAGAATTGATCAATGTCATTTTTTATGATTGTTGATCAAACGGTTGTATTTTTAAAGTGAATATATGATGTAAAGAAAATCGGATGAGACAATAAGTTATGGACGACCTTCGAGCAACGCTGAAGTGACATTGAGAGTGGAGACCCACTGATTAGGACTAAATGAGGGTTATGAGGCAGTTAGGATTCTCATTTACAGTTGATGGGTAGTGTTAAAAAAATTATATTTATGGTTTTCATCAAGAACTGATATCATCCATAATGCCAAAACTCTATTTAGCCAAATGTATGGATGAATATTGCGCCCAAATTCGTGACTCGTTAACTTATATCTGATTGGTTCGTCCATAAATTATATTCCCGCCGAAAATTTTCATTATAAATGATCGATGTTTATGAGACATTTGTAAGTAACATTTCAAATCATTATATTCAGTCAGTCAACAACGTAGAACTTCTTACATACGTACATCAGTTTGAGTTGCCATACCACATTAGCACAGAGATACCATTGTCCATTCAAATCCCATAGTGGTAGAGGTAGAAAAAATATAAGCAGTAATCAGAAAAATTAAAATTCGAAGATGTTATTCAAGGAGTATAATCCAGTGAAATAGATTTGGAAAGAGAAAAAAGGGACTTGAAGATTATATTATATTACCGGAAAAACGATAGAATGATCAAGTCGAGAGATATTACTGTAGGAACCATCTGGAAAGAACTGAATGGTTAAATGATCCTTATTATTCGCTTGATTTTGGAGCGAACAAATGGAGATGATTTTTATCACAGATTGAAAAACTACACAACACTAAAGGGTATTAAACACTTATATCATCTATGCTCGAAACTAACCGGATGAGTGTATTCAAGGCACCAACCAGGATCAATCTTAGAACCTTGACTCTCGTGAACAAAACCTGTAGATTAACTAGGTTGGACAGATTCCTGTGATTTACAATTCTAGTACCAGTTTGCTGGCATTATAGATAAGTTAACATAAAATCCCGTGTGTAATTTGTCTTCACCTGTGATCGTTGAACTGGACATGTCAAAGATTTCCACAAGAGCATCGAATAACCTAACTTGAGATTAATCCGCAATGAGCAACAACATGGTTTGTGAAGAATTTTTCAATTTGATGATAGTGGAGAGGAGTGAGTGCACATGACTAAGTAGTTTTAAACAAGAAGACAATTGCTAATCTGTGTTCCGCGTTTTTCAGTGATTTTTCAAATAACTGATGTTAGTTGATTAGAAAATCTCCACAAATTGAAATCTCAACACACGAACTACCTAAAGAATAATCGAATCTCTTAGCACTACCAGCAACAAACTCCGTCGAATTGTATTCTCTTCAAATGTAATAACTCGAGAACCCATTTCAAACTTGTATTTTATAAAAAAAAATGTGTCATGACAGGTTTAATAATAAAAGTAAAAATAATAAAAACAATAGAATGATTCAATTGCACATACAGTTGCATGAAATGGACGAGCATCGAAATTTTTGTAACCAGACTGTGGAGAATCTAAGAAACGTGAGATGAGCGGATGATAAGATAGTTTTTCAATATGCTTCATCATATTATTTGATGGGAAGACAGCTTCAGAATCCACTGAAAATTAATAATCAATACTAGACGGCTTTACATTTTTTGCAAGTCATTTTTAACTATGAAAAGTAAATTGATTATAAAATATAAACGAACAGTTTTAATTATTCATAAGAATTTATTTTCTCTCAAAATATGGAATCCACCGTTGAAGTTTACAAATTACGATTTGGTTTCAGAAATATACATTTATTAAACCAGAACAGAAACCGATAAACGAAAGGTGAATGGACCATGAAGATATATAAACTGAAAAACAAAATAACTCTGACTGACTGTAATTTGTAAACAGATTTCTAATGTGTGAAATAGAACTGATTGTAAAGTCTTTGGATGAAGGATATATTCTTTAGTTGGTGAACTGAAAGTTAAACTTATAATCTTACAAATAAACAGATTGGAAAGCTACATCACAAAAACGTTAAAGTGAATATTGTGTTTGCATAAAATTAACACTACTTCCATCAGGTTTCAGGATAGAAGAATAACTAACCGGTAAAAAACATAATTAAAAATACACAAATAGAAATATGAAACAGTCATCTATGAATAAATAACCAACAAAGGTAAGATACTAAAGGTTGTATTATCATTGACAACTTATAAACCATGATTTAGAAAACATTGTCAGTCGCTACATTTCATTAGATCTCAAATACCTACCTGGTATTTGAGGATTTATACTTCCCTGCTCCTGATATTGGGGAGTGTTAATCCCGATAGATAATTGAGTTAAATACCAACCGCCTAAGATTCATTTAACATTAAAACTACTATTTTGTTTTTTATTTAACTATCAAACACGAAATTGAACCATTTTTTAGAAACATAACTCTGACATTTTTTATAGGTAGATAAAAATAATTTAGGCTGGCTTAGTTGTTACAAAAATGACAATTTAGAGTTTAAAGAATTACGCGTGAAATTAATAAAAAAAAAGGAATGCCATGACTGCTAAATTTTTGATGTTCTGAGCCAATAGGATAGGCTGTAATCATTATGAAATTAATTGTGAAATATAACAGATTGAATCTAACATTCAATAGGTCGACAAGCAACTCACATTGACTATTAGATATGATAGCGGTTAAAAATTGTTCAGCAACAATATCTTCTGCGACATCTTCCCAACTTGAATCTTCCGTCTGGATGATTTTCAGTAATTTGGAAGCTTTTAATTTTCCATCTACATCAGATGGTTCATCATTGTGTGAGTCCTGGTTATTTACATTTCCGTTTTCTGAAGTCTGGAAAATAATGAAAAATCTTATTTGACAGATAAAGATCGGGAACTATGAGTCATAACTCACTAAAACTTAGGAATATCCATCTGGAATTCAAGTACCAATGGGCATACGCTCTAGAAATAACATGGTAAAGTGTTACTAAATATTTTCAACTTTCCAATCCTCTAGAAAACAAAATTTAAAACTACATAGTATTAGGATTAATTTTCAGACAAGTACAGTGGAACTCAAAGAGCTACCTTCCGTAGTAGATTTTTTATACAGTATCAAAAGCTAAAATATCTGTTTAAAATACTCTATTCTACAAATACTCTCATAAAAATGTAACTGTAAGCTCCAAAAGACAACCATCGTAAACTCTATAATATCCTCGAAACATATTTATTACTTATTTATTCAAACACATAAACATTGGTACAAGTAGGCACCAAACAGATATGCGTCACATAAATCATTCGATTTGTGTGAGGGCTGGGAGTTAGCGACCCCATCCCGTAGAACACTAACTTGCTAAGAAAACACTAACCAGAAAAAATCATTCGAACCTTTTAAACTCTGCCCTGGGAGTCAGAAGGCCTTCATTTAAAAGAGTGATGACGCCTCATGATGAAAGCCGAGTCCCTTCAGAAGTCACGAGGCCGATGCCCCTTCTGAAAACCAGAGCAACCATTTATTTAAGTACATGGAATACTCGTACAATGTGGGAGACCGGGAGAGTCTCCCAAATTGCTGCAGAAATGAGGAGATACAACCCAGAGGTGCTTGGGATCGGTGAAACACATTGGACGCAAGTTGGACAACAACGACTAGCTTCAGGGGAGTTTCTGTTATGCTCCGGCCATGATGAAGAAAGTGCCCCACATACACAAAGAGTTACAGTGATGCTGTCCAAACAAGCACAAAATGCACTTATAGGATGGGATTCTCATGGACCAAGGATCATCAAAGCCTCCTTCAAAACAAAGAAAGAGGGCATTTCAATGAACATCATCCAATGCTATGCGCCTACCAACGACTACAATGGAGACGCTAATGATCAATTATACGATAGGCTGCAGTCAATCGTCGAGAAGTGCCCAACAAAGGACCTGACCATTCTGATGGGAGATTTCAACGCCAAGGTTGGAATGGACAACACTGGATATGAAGACATCATGGGACGACACGAACTGGGAGAAAGGAACGAAAATGGTGAGAGATTTGCAAACCTATGTGCCTTCAATAAGCTGGTCATATGTGACACCATATTCCCACATAAACGCATACACAAAACCACATGGACTTCACCGGATCACACCACGCAAAACCAAATCGACCATATTTGCATCAATAAAACGTTCACGAAGACTATAGAGGACGTGAGAACCAAGAGAGGAGCTGATATAGCATCAGATCATCACTTGCTGGTCGCCAAGATGAAAGTGAAACTCAAGAAGCACTGGACAACGGGGCGGACAATATCACAAAAGTTCAATACAGCCTTTCTTCAGGATACTAACAAACTAAACAAATTCAAGATAGTCCTCAGCAACAAGTTCCAGGCCTTTCATGATCTACTCAATGGAGAAGGAACTACTATGGAGAGCAACTGGGAGAGGATCAAAGAAGCAATCACTTCAACATGTCATGAGGTCCTGGGTCACAAGAAGCACCATCACAAGGAATGGATCACTGTTGATACACTGGATAAGATTCAAGAAAGAAGGGACAAGAAGGCAGCAATCAACACCAGCCAAACAAGAGCAGAAAAAGCCAAGGCACAAGCTGAATACACAAAAGTAAACAAGCAAGTGAAGAGGAGCATCAGAACTGACAAACGTAAATATGTGGAAGATCTAGCAATGACGGCTGAAAAGGCTGCAAGAGAAGGAAACATGAGAGAACTGTATGAAATAACAAAGAAACTCTGCAAATCGCCGCAAACCAGAACGACCAGTGAAAAGCAAGGAAGGCGAGGTAATCACCAACATTGAAGAGCAACAAAACAGGTGGGTAGAACACTTCAAAGAATTCATAAATCAACCAGCCCCACTGAACCCACCCAACATTGAGGCAGCACACACGGACCTCCCAATCGATGTTGGCCCACCAACAACTGAAGAAATCAGCATGGCCGTCAGACCAACCAAGAGTGGCAAAGCAGCAGGACCAGACAACATTCCGGCAGAGGCACTGAAAGCAGACGTAGCGGTAACTGCAAGGATACTCCACATTCCCTTCAATAAGATTTGGGATGAGGAACAAGTACCAAAAGACTGGAAAGGACTTCTGGTCAAAATACCAAAGAAAGGCGATCTCAGCAACTGTGATAACTACGGGGACATCACTCTTCTTTCAATACTGGGAAAAGTCTTCAACAGGGTTGTTATATCCCGGTGAAGATTAAATTACAGGTAACTTCCAAGGACTATTAATGAACTAATATTCTATAAACATTCTTATTGTATAACTATTCAACAATTACATTATGTATATTTATATTCCTCTTATTATAAGCTTTATTTTGATCTATAATTTATTATTGTACGATTTACGGTTCTTAAGCTATGCTCAGTCTATTAGTTACTGTCCCCCTCGTTCACAGCCACTTTTTGGCTTATTTGTGTACACATGTTATTTTCTATTTTATGGTACGTTGTAGTCTGTCTGATTGACATATAAACCGAGTATGTCTGAAATAAACGATTCGATCTGATTCGATTCATATTACGGAAGCTGGTATTGTGTTCTGGACTCAAGTGGAAGGGCTAGGAGGACATAGGACCAATAAGGACGCTAAACTGTCCACACCGGTTGAACGTCATTGGTTGGCCTAGTGTGAAGATTCGTATAAGTCGTATTCGGATTGGTAGATAATTCGTGTGATAGAAAAGCCAGACGTCAAGGTCATAACAAGGGTGTTGTTAAACAGGACGAAGGACTCCGTAGACGTCCAACTTCGAGATCAATAGGCAGGATTCCGTAAGGATAGACCGTGTACAGACCGAATCGCAACTCTACGGATCACTGTGGAACAATCAATTGAATGGAATTCATCACTCTACATCAACTTCATTGACTACGAAAAAGCATTTGATAGCGTGGACAGAACAACACTATAGAAACTTCTTCGACACTACGGCGTGCCTCAGAAGATAGTCAATATCATACAGAAGTTCTATGATGGATTAAACTGCAAAATCGTGCATGGAGGACAATTGACAGACTCGTTCGAGGTAAAGACCGGTGTCAGGCAAGGTTGCTTACTCTCACCCTTTCTCTTTCTCCTGGTGATCGACTGGATCATGAAGACATCAACATCTGAAGGGAAGCACGGGATACAATGGACATCTAGGATGCAGTTGGACGATCTAGACTTCGCAGATGATCTGGCCCTTCTATCCCAAACGCAACAACAAATGCAGGATAAGACGACCAGTGTAGCAGCAGCCTCAGCAACAGTAGGTCTCAATATACACAAAGGGAAAAGCAAGATTCTCCGATACAACACAGCATGCACCAACCCAATCACAACTGACGGAGAAGATTTGGAAGATGTAAAAACCTTTACATATTTGGGCAGCATCATTGATGAACATGGTGGATCTGATGCAGATGTGAAAGCGCGGATCGGTAAAGCGAGAGCAGTATATTTACAACTGAAGAACATCTGGAGCTCAAAACAACTGTCAACCAACACCAAGATCAGGATTTTCAATACAAATGTCAAAACAGTTCTACTTTATGGGGCGGAAACCTGGAGAACTACGAAAGCCATCATCCAGAAAGTACAGGTGTTTATTAACAGTTGTCTGCGCAAAATACTTCGGATTTATTGGTCGGACACTATCAGCAACAACCTACTGTGGGGGAGAACAAACCAGATCCCAGCGGAGGAAGAAATCAGGAAGCGTTGGAAGTCGATAGGACACAGATTGAGGAAAGCACCCAACTGCGTCACAAGACAAGCCCTCACATGGAATCCTCAAGGCCGAAGGAGGAGAGGAAGGCCAAAAAAACGCATTACGCCGGGAAATGGAGATAGACATGAGAAAAATGAACAATAATTGGATGGAACTAGAAAAGAAGGCCCACAACAGAGTGGGTTGGAGGATGCTGGTCGGTGGCCCATGCTCCATTAGGAGTAACAGGCATCAGTAAGTAGGTAAGTAAGGAAGGAAGGAAGGAAGGAAGAAAGAAAGTAGGAACTGACATTTTACACAGTGAGTGGACTAAAAATACTATCGGGTTACAAAAATTCCTGCCGAAGGTCGATAGAAATTCGACATCACCATGGAATTAACGACTGTGTTGAATATAAGGGAATATACTACATAATCAATTTTGAAAAAGGACCTCCAGTTATTAGTTTTTGATGTGTAGATTACTACTACGGTTTTGAGTGATTGTAAAAGATCAACCAAGCAACAGGAGTGATATAACAACCGCAAAGGTTGGGAGTAGTTGAAGCATTTCCAGAAAACATAGACTTTCGAATGAGTATAAAATACTTTTTATATTTTCTTAAACTAACGTGATGGATATGACAGGGATGAAATGAAACAGAAAAAGTAAAATCGATTAATTTTAGACAAAGCGTAGTCTCATGAAACATCAGCCGATACGACAAGCGTAAAGAAATGGTTAGTAGGCCCACAATAGCGAAGGAAATCTGAGCCAATCACAACTGAAAATCAGTCAATGATCACTAACTCCATCATTTATTCAACTTGTTACAGATGAGAATAGGTGTAACAAATGTACTGCTGATGGAGTAAATGCTACTCACAAGGATGTTTGCAAGTGGTGTGTGCTGGAACATGACGTTGAAGTCGTCAGACGGAGTGAAGAGTTTTAGTGCGTCGAAAGCACGGTGTTGGTGGGACACTTGGAGATCAGACGAGAGGACAGTTGAGATGGCAGAACACACTGAAAGATGAACATGGATGATTGAAGGTTATTGTGTATTATGTAAATACTTTGTAACTTCTCGCAATTAATACACATTCCTCATGCCTTCTGTCTTGTTTTACACTGAGAGCAAACTAAGAATAAAAACAAACTCTTCTAAACACATTGGCAAATCTTAGTTTGAAAATAATTTTGATCAGATAAAAATGTGTGTTACAGGATTGATATGTACCGCCCCTTGTACAAGAATCAAGAATGAAATGACCGGGTAAATCGACCATAAAATAATTTACTCAGACAAATAGCAAGAAAGTTAAACTTACATGATCGTCCCATGGTTCAACTAAACAGGAACATGTGCTCCCATTTTCAGAACTATGAAGATTATTTTGGAAACTTCCATTGCTAGTTTGATTGTTATATATGTATGCTTCATTACAGTTATCTACATTTAGATTTATTAATCCATCATAATTATCAATTTCAGGACGAATCCCACAACCAAATATGAAACAAGCTAAAGCATGAACATGAGACAGGATAGCTACAACATGCATTAATTCAGACAATGATAATGCTTCTTTTAATGGATTCGAATCCCCTCCATGAGTCAAGTTGTAAATATCATCCTAAAGAGGGTGAAAAGGATTAATAGATAATTACTAGAGTTGTTGGAGATAGTAAAATAGATTTTGTAAAATGGATGACGAGTATTTGAAATAGGAACTGGGAAGAGGGAAATGTAACATATCTGTTATTAGGTAGGAAGTTATGTGATTAAAGAAATTTAATTTATAAGTTGCTTTTCAATAACATTAATGAATATTGTTTTATGAGAAATGGGGAAACTTCATGAGCGACATTTATTGCAACTTCCCAGATTAATGAAATTTCAAAATTTCTATGGACTAACTTACCTACCCTTACGTTCAATCACAAGAACGCCTAGTGAGTTTGGAAATATATTTCACGTCAGTTGGTACAATTCTAATTCCAGATTGAAATTAATAATAAAATGATTGTTCATGCAAATCAATATTCAAGTACAACTGTTTTATGTACTCGAGGGTCTGAGAAACATTTGTTAGGACTACATAGCTACTAATCAAGGAGCTTGAACCATCAACCAACTGACGCATTAATACAACACGTCTACAAGAAATTGTTCATCACATGTTCCATATAATATGTGCGAGCTCTGCTCAAGTCACAAAACACAAATGTATTCGCAAAGTTCAGAATATATGTTGAACTGAAACTATCCTAAAAGTAGACATATCCGATGGAAAAGTTGTACTTTATAAAAACCTTCAATAGAATTTTCGTCTCATTTACAGTTATGACACTGAAAAATCCGTTGGACATGTAATGTGACCGAAACATATATTATTGTGATGATATTTATGCCGTTAGCTTCCTTTGGTAGGAAGTAAACTATATAACTTTTAATCCTGTCTCAAGGATTCACTTAGATTCAGCATTACGTTGGTTCCTTTTAAATTAGACAGAGAAGAGATGAGCTACCCGAGTATCTGATTTGATTAATTCTATCTGTTTGCAACTTTGCTACTTAAGTGAATCGACCAGAAGTGACTACAGAGATGAGAATCATCAAAGTTGTCGATATAAGTAAACTGCTTCGCTAAGTGTAAAGTGGCAAGCTGATTAACGTCTGCTGCCTCAGTAACATTTATTCTGGGTAAACCACACGAACTATAAATAGCATAGGCAGTTGAAAAAAAACCCAGAGACAACTAAACTAAGATAAGGTATCACAGCATGAAGTCACTGAAAGTTGGTCTGAGCCAAGTTTTTAGATGTAGACTACATTAGTAGGATTTGAGCAATAACCGCGATTGGTGTAGAGTTCTGGTGAAACGGCTTAGAATCAGACAAAATGGTTTAAATCTCCTCGCCCACTATTTCCACCTACATCTCGAGTTACAGTTTTCCTTTAGAGATACTTTCTCACCATACATTTTCGTACGATATTCTCAATAATAAGTTGTTATCATTATCATTGCTACCACATTATTAAGATTCCTTTGCTATTCATCTTGTTAATTCGATCTCGTAGTGCTATTGCGGTATGACAACTTGGACCAACGCACCTTTATTCAGTACAGATTATCCAGTACTGATGTTAATCAAATGGAAAACTCACGATATTTTATTGAGACGCTGTCTCCTTTAAAAAAAACGGTTGACATTGGGAATTTATTAGTTATCAATCAAACCATTAACCAAAGTAGATGTAGGAAATCACGAAATTTCGAACAACACAATGAGCTTCATAGATCATGAAGTTATGTATAATTCCCGGAAGTGAAGTAAGTGCAACATGATTCGCATTTCCAACCTATCCTAAATTGCATGATTGAAACATAAATCTACATGAATATGAGCACTTAAATGAATTTGAAGATGATAACCCAACAGGGGTCGATCTGTCACAAATACTACCTACAAATTAAACATCTCTACGAGACCTCCACATAAAAGCCATAATAATAAGCTCACTACTGGTTTACATCTATATGAGTTTCTGAATTTCTAGTGAGAAGTTGTGACCCGTAAATCTCAGACACGTCGTCAGTGAAATAGCTTCCATCAATCTCAATTGTTAATCTCTGTGACACTGTTGGAAACGTGCACCATTGAACACCAACCCACAATCGAATGGATAGGCGCTCACCGTGAGACTAGAACGTCCTGATTTCGGTCCCATGTGAGACCCGGGACGCGTAATGATGAGGAGTCCCATGCTGAAATGAAACAACTCCCCAGTTCTCCCTGATTTTTAATGATAGTTCAACCAATGTCATAACGGATATTACCTACGAATTGAACTAACCTCCAAAGTTTATAGAAGTCGTAAATTGATATAACTCCAAAAAATAACAAAAATTCATATGGTGAATGAGTACTGGACACAGAATCACCAAAAGTTACAACACCAGAGCTAAAAAGTGAAGCTCGACTTCGTGATTCTTTGCAGGGACGGTCTTTATTAAAATTAAACTAAAGACTTAGATAAGAAGCATGACCGTGAACAAATATATAATGACAAACCTACAGCTGTAATCTTCCAAGGACGATCTGAGAGATCCCTGTTTAATCCACATAATTGGCGCCACTTTGGGGGCCCATACTGTACTCCCTGTAACCACGACAAAGGGCCACCAGAACTAATGAATTGACGCACAAAAAAAAGAACTAGGTAAATACACCGTTGTTGTGCAGCTGCCTAAAATACAGTCAATATTTAAACAACAGGATTAATATTGTGAGTAGAAGAGTATTAAAGGTTGGATATCTTCGTTTAAACCACAAACAGATCTAAGTTAGACAACCTTCGGAAACTCGTAAACATCGAATGACCGTTTCATATTGAACTCATTACCAGGAGTAATCAACAACCCTGGACCTTAGATTTCGCAAGTGAACGCATAGCCTCTGGACCATTGAGCCGGGATTCAATGCTGTACAGGTTTAGCTCCAGTCAATCCACGATGTGATAGTTGTACGAATTGTTGGCCATTATTGCGACATACCTACCGCAGCAACACTTTCGAACAATAGTTATTCGCTAATACCACTACCATAATTGATAAAGCTACATCAATTCTAATCCAAGCACATTTACTCACGTCTCTTGCTCTTTTTTCGGCATAGAAAATAACTGCATTTTGATGCCAAACTCATAGTTGAATACACTTACAATAAACTTAATTTGCGCTTGTTTATGCAGAACGGTCAATCTGCTAACATATCGGAGATCTCTGCAGTTTTGCAGCACAGCTTAGCAATAAAAGTGATTGTCTTGATCAAATTTTTTGTTGGTTGAACAAAATCCAAGCCTGAGGTTGTTGGATAATATCAACAGTGAAGAGTTAGTAAATATTCTTTTATGACCTGAAGATTGTTGAAAACCAGATCGACAATGCTGTTGTTGGTTCACTATAGATAGTTACAAAGGTTAGATTATTCCTTTTCTGTCACAAGTGTTTAAAAAATGCTATGCGATTTACCAGGCAAAAAAAACAAAGATTTCAATTGCTGAAGTCAATTACTCACATGACATGCCATGTAGGTCAGTATGACTTTAAGGCTTTAAAGTGTATTACAATACAAATAATATATGTCCATTTTGTCCACTGGGTTAAGACGAGGTTAGTGATATTACCGACTACCTACACCTCGATAACTAAGTTAAGATTCAAGATGTGACGACTGAAAGTTATACGTTCACAACACTGAGTTAATCAAAAGCAAAGGTCGAGTTGGGGAAACGTGCATTCAAAGAGCCACGATGGACACGAGTAAATTAAATAAGTATGAAAATGATAAACTGAGCAACACGTTAATGTATTTAACTACTTTATTGACAAGCAGTTTTAACGTGCCTTAATTGCTATTCAAAAAGAGAAGCCTAATACAAGTTTCGAAGAAGCACTAGATCTATTGATATTCATTGTCTTAGAAGTCAAAAATTTCCGGAAAAAACATAAACAAACTAACAGTCTCTGACCAGCATTCCTTTATTTTACATATGGTGTCGTACCATTGTTTTGATACGCAGAAAATAGTAATCCAGACCTGCAAACATAGGACTTACAATTAGGGGAGACATCAGTGATATGATCGTGAATCAGGCATTTTCCTTTTGATACTACCCTTTGTTGCGTAGGTTCGCACCACTATGTCAATAGCTTTTAATGTTTGGTCACAAAAAATGAGTACTCTGGTAAACAATATTGATTGGTATACAAACCCCCACGTACAGTTAAGAACCACCTGCTAAGGGAACTGTAAGTTAATGGTTTGTATTATAGTATCTGAAAGAAATAGGTCGGTGATGAACTCATTACAGTGAATAGCACCAATAAGACTTTGACAAACACCCTGATTAAATTTTTTATTAAATACTAGACAACAGCTACTCAAAACTGCAAGATAAATATCCCTAGAAACCTTGAATATGATCTGTGATAGCACCACTTGATATAGATACTGTTTGACTCATTTAAATCTCACAGAGTGAACGTGACCAGTCATGATTACCTTAAACAATGAAACTTACAATAATGGCTATATAGTAACGATCTGGATAAGGTAATGGCAAGTCACCACGAAAAAGATGATCCTTTAGTTTCATGTAACATTCAAGATATTCAGGATGATACCCCATTACATTGATGTAGTTATTTAGGCGTCCCCATTGAAACCAATACTCACGAAACAATATATAAGTCTGCAAAGAAGGTAAGAAAACAAACACGGTGTAACTCTCTATGATACCTGGAGTGATTTATGTAAGAACAATAAACTAGTGATTTCTCACAAAAGCAAACCACAACAAAAATAGATTCAACAATTATTCAACATAGAGCTTCCCAAGTCTTGTTTTTTTACTTTTGACTAATTAGAAAAGGCAAATCTTCAGCTACGTGTCCTCCTTTATTTGTTAAGAAACCAGAGGTCTAAACTGTATACAATCAAAGCATCTAACAGTCCTAGAAACGTGCTTGAGAAAGAAGACTGACAGTGGAGATTGCCAGGAATACGTTACACTCCATAACCGAAAGCAGCAGTTTTGGTGGCTATCGGTTGCATGCAAAAAACGTATAAAATACACTTGGAATGTGCTTGAAGCTGCATGTATTGTTTGATTGTAATGGAACTAAGAATGAACGGAAAACCCACATCAAAAATACAAGCCGAAGTACCGAATTTCATACGAAGAAAGAAAATATAGACAGGAGTATGCAGCATTATTACGAGGCAGAGATTTTAGTTGCTCCAAGTTTCCAAAAACGTGAATTAGTAATACATAACATGTGCGGTAAGTTGTGCACCTGTTACTTTCACCGTCTCATATTGCGCAACAAACGACGTATGTTGAACGAAGTCTAGTGGGATTAGATGAAATATCACAAGGTTAACCACGCAATTCTTAATATTTCAATTTAGTCTGTATTCGGTGGATCTTAGTAAATATTGACGTAGTGATCATCTCCTTTACTTAACCAAAGATCAAATATCATGATTTACAAATCACCCTTGATAAAATTAAGTCTTTTCAGAATGAGCCACTCAATTGATAACTCCCAATAACCTTCCATGAGAAACCATACCATCCTTGAATTTACTAAGATGCATGAATCTAAGCGAGCTCGTCACGAAATCTAAGTTACACTTAGCTCCCAATGGAAAGTTGAAAGATTTTTAAGCTCCTACAAGATATTTTGTTAGAGGAAGAACCTCTGGTCAAATTTGATGTCAACTATTTCAAAAAATAAATCGAGAGTACCCTTAGTATATTATGGTTGATGACAGCTACTTAATATCTTTTAGGAAGACAGGTACAACGTTGTTCAGTGACAGATTTATGCAAGTGTGAAATTAAAGCGAGTATAGAAAATGTGTAGCCAATATATTGAATACTATACGGGAACAGCTTAAAATTGCAGGTTTTCTTAATCTAAATATACCGGTATGATATATCAGAGGTCTTGAGTGCAATCTTTCTTTTATATATTACCACCATTGACTTAACCACTCCTATTAATCCGATGTTCATCTTACTGTGCTAATGCGGTATGGCAACTTGGACCGATACACATATGTGCCTGGTCCTACGTTGTAGCTGACTGACTGGTATGATATATGTACATCATTGACTTCTTGATAGTGGAGATTTAATCCGTGAAGTAAACTTTCAGACAGGAGAGGTTGATAATTATTTGTAATTAAAAGGAGTGGATATTGATGAATATATATTAAAGCAGTCGCCAAACGCGTCCAGTTGAATAGTTCACAGAATTTTGAAGCTCACAAGATGGATATACGTCTATCATGCAATTTTAGAATAGAATAATTATGTGTCAACAATCGCCTAAACGGTCTGAAAAGTTCGAGTCTGATATGGCAAATAATGTCACTTGAAAATTGTAGGAGAAAAGTCACTTTTCTCCGTTTAAGTAGAAATTTTGGCACATAATGAAAAGGAAGAGCGACCCCTTGCCCTACAATGAAAAATTGGAGATCACAGTGCTCTCGACAAACGTCAACCATTCTACGACAATTTAAAACACAATGACTATTTCCTTGTTTAACAGAACACCAAACAGTGAATTACACCGGTTTTAAAGAATCAGCATATCGTAGCATGAACCGAAGACAAGAATAGGTTAACAAAATCCGGTTGAATAAAAACCTTTAGGTGAAACAGTGAATACATACAGTGTAAAAAGGATCCCCTTCATTTGGTTCATCAACCATGCATTTCATGTGGTCCATCTAGAATCGAATTATTAATTAGGAACTGAAATTACGTTCAGTGACTGAATAAAACTAGGAGACGATGTAACGGTATTCGGAATTTTGAACCCCTTCTGAATCTAAAAACTTGTTAGGGAAAAATTCGACAACATAACCTTTAAATCACGCAAGATATCTCTAGCAGCAGACCGTATATCAGATGATGGGGCGGTATGCAGTATTCTTAAAAGATCTGGGATCTGCTCCGTAATCAACCCGTGCATAGACGTATCAAGAGTAGCCCCACCGGTATCATTGGCTACAGTCTCTAAGAAACCAGCGACAGCGGGGCTACCAAAGCCAAAATACCACGAATCAAATATACGTTGAATAGTAACAGCTGCTTCATGCCTAGCAGATTCATCACGATTCGAAAGGCCTTGAAGTAAATTGACAGAGTCGACAGTTCTTTGGAGCAGCGAAGAGCAATGATGCATGCATATAACACTCATCTAGCCAAATAGTTTAAACGACCGTATAGCAAAAAAGATCGCAATTCTCCCGCCCTTCAGACAAACATAGCGCAGACATTCATCTAAGCTACTATATCGTACGTCTTTGTTCACTAGTCACAATTTATATCTCATTGAAGCCAATCATAGTTAAAATAAAAATGGTCGTTTTCGAACCAAACTGCATTTCAAATATTTTAATGCGAAATTCAGTGCTATTTAAAAAGGACAGTGGTATTTTTCATTTTTGAGTAAATTTCTTTGTTTTGATCGTTTATTACGCATCAAGACTACTGTTTTCACTTTAATTGAATTTATTTCAGTTAAAGCATTCGACTGGAGTATCGTTTTTACTGTTCTCTCAATTAGTTTTGTCGTTGGTATTCTTGAGTATCTCTTTTTCAACTGTATCTGTGAGTACTTTTGGTCCTAGCAATCTACAGCTCTTCACTTTTTTGGTCATTGGTTATTTTTTGTTTCTGAGTATCATCGCATCTTGAAAAGAACCCTTCTAAACGACCGGACAGTGTAAAAAAAAGCAGTTGCCAACGTCCGGGTTGTCGTTATCCTGTTGAAAGCGGCATGCAGTGCGACGAGTGCAAAGGCTGGTACCACGCCTGCTGCTTTCAAACGGTTCAGTAAGAAGGGTTGTGTATGGCTTTGTCAACAGTGCTGCTCGGATGCAAACAGCTTGTTAACCGAAGCCATCTCACTGGTTGATGCTGCAAAGAAGTGTTTTAGCAAGCATAGTCGGAACGCGTCAAACAGCACTCGATCTGTTAACACGCAAATCAACATGAAGGAAACTAAGGTTAGTTCGATGATAGATGACTCATGCCCGTCAAAGAAGGAAAACCAGTCTCCAAAGGGGCCTGTATTAAACAAAAGATCAAGAAAAGTAGGGTCTTCGGTTCCTTGTCTCCCAGATGGGATCCAACAGGAAAAACCTAGAAGCCGCAATCGCAAGGCTCGATCGGCTTCAAGCGGAAAACACAACACGACCTCTCAGGTTGTCAAAACCCCCACAAAGTTCAACTCTAGGTTTGACGCAACTGTTATTGCTTCTACCGGCACCGTTGACGAGTGGGTACAGGTTGTAAGGAAGAAAAGTAGGGATATAAAAGGGAACCCTGCCCCCGTAAAAGTGGTTGAAAAATCGAAAGCTGATCATAGCGACAGATCAGCTATTTTTCATAGAATCAAGGAGAGCGATAGCTCTGAACCTAAAGCTCGTTTTGAGCATGACATTGTACTGATTAGGCAGCTGCTTAATCAACTCATGCCTCAAAATATGACCGGGGTCGCCTTGCTAAAGGTGTACAGACTAGGGAGTCTAACGGACTCGAAACCAAATTATTCCAGACTGCTTAAAGTAGTATTCGGCTCTTCGAACGAACGTGACCAAATTTTACAAAATGGACACAAATTAAAGGGTTCAGGAGTCTTTATCCGAAAGGACCTACCGTTGGTAGACCGTGTTAAAAGACGGGAAGCCGAGAAAAAACTACAACATAGGTTAGACGCTGGCGAAAAGGACCTGAAAATTGTAAATTTTCGGGTTGTAAGACTTCGACAGAGAATGACGCCGAAGCCACTCTGGGTGAAGCACGAAGGCACTTAAACAGGCTTCGGATCTGTTACACCAATGCACGAAGCTTACTTAATAAGCGATCGGAACTAGGTGTACAGATTGACTCTACAAAGCCAGACATAATCACAGTAACAGAAACCTGGCTGACACAGGCTATAGATAGTATAGAACTTGATTTCGAGGGCTTTAGGTTAGTAAGGGCCGACAGAACACAAAAGCGCAAAGGAGAGGGAGTAGCTCTATCCATTAAGAATGCTATCCCATTTGCCATTACCGATAGTGTATCCCATGAGAGTGGGACGTGTGAATTAGTTAGTTACCCCTTGAAATGCAAGGGACAAGAGCTGCTGATTGGTTCGGTCTATCGCAGTCCAAGCTGTGAGGCAAATGAGATCCTGTTAAGCAGTCTCAATACTTGGTCCCAAAGTGGTCGATGTCTAATCCTAGGGGACTTTAATGCACCTATGGTAGACTGGGAAAATCTGCGAACTAAATCGTCGGAGAATTCTTTCGAGCAGGAACTAGTTGATGGGGTTATCACATGTGCTCTAGTGCAACATGTGAAAGAAGCGACAAGGTACGATCCGGACACCGAATCATCCTTATTAGATCTTATACTGACTCACTATGAGGATGATGTTGCGAACCTCCATCATATGCCACCCCTAGGTAAAAGTGACCACGCAGTTTTAAATTTCGACTTCCATATAACTGCCAGTCGTGAGGACGCGTCAGTCCAGTCCAGACCCAACGTCTGGAAAGCAAACATACCAGACTTCATGCACTCAGCATCGTTAATAGATTGGACAATAGACCCAGAGTCCTCCATTGAAACGGCCTGGGACACATTTCGAAATTCATACTTAAAAGTTACCACACCTCACATTCCTTGGACTATACCAAAGGGGCCGAAAAACTCACCACCATGGTTCAGTAGGGAGGTCCGTATCCTTTTCCGTAAGAAAAGGAAAATGTGGGATAGATTTAGGTTACTGGGGACTGATGAGTCAAAATCTCAGTATCGAAAGGCTCGGAACACTTGTGCCTCGACCCTCCGTAAGTCTAGAAAATTGTACGAAGAAAAACTTGTTAAGGAATCCATAGAATGTCCTAAACGCTTGTATTCCTATATAAGCCAAAGGACAAGGAGAAAAGGAAATATTCCTGCTCTATGGGGAGACAGTACTGCTTCATCATTAGTGGAGGACGACTTTGGTAAGGCTCAAGCGTTCTCGAACTACTTTAGCAACGTGTATACCATAGAAGCGCCCTTCTCGTCAGCGTATACAGATCCACCCATACATACACTGGATAGCATGACCATTAAAGAACTCGATGTCTTTGGTCTGCTAAATAAGCTTGACATAGGTAAATCCACGGGGCCCGATGAATTACATCCTAGGCTACTCAAGGAATTATCTAACTTCATTGCAAGCCCTTTAAGTACATGCTTTAACCTATCCGTTACGCAGGGTCGCTTACCGAAAGATCGGAAAAATGCCAATAGTAAGTCCTGTCTTCAAAACAGGCACGAAACACAAACCTGAGAACTACCGCCCCGTTAGCCTAACTAGTGTGGTTGTTAAAATATTAGAAAAGATTATCCGGAAGGAGCTGTTTAAGTATCTCGATAAAAACCGGATCCTCTCGGAGAAGCAGCACGGCTTCAGAATAGGTTATTCTTGTCTCACTAACTTATTAGTGGCTCGTGAAAGCTGGTGCACTCTTAAGGACCAAAGGCTGCCTGTAGACGTCGCCTTCATTGATTTCAGTAAAGCTTTTGACAAAGTTCCGCACAACCGGCTGTTATATAAGTTAAGAAAAATCGGGATTAGAGGCAATTTATTGATGTGGATAAAAGACTTCTCAGTTGGGCGTCAACAAAGAGTTCGGGTGAACTCAAAGTTATCTAGCTGGGAAACTGTGCTTAGTGGAGTGCCCCAGGGTACAGTTTTGGGGCCAGTGCTATTCCTCTTGTATGTAAATGATCTTCCTTGTCTCCTATCATCTTCGGTCTTGCTATATGCTGACGATGTCAAGATATGGAGAACGATACGATGTAAGAGTGATAGCTTAGAACTTCAAAATGACCTGAAGAAGTTATCTGAATGGTCTCAAACCTGGCAGTTGCCGATAAATACTCCCAAGTGTGTTGTGATGCATATCGGTCATCAAGGCACAGATACATACACGATGAATAACACTGGGCTACCTGTCGTCCAGACATATAATGACTTAGGAGTTATCGTTAGTCAAGACTTAAAGACTACTGCACACTGCCGTGCAATAGCCCCCAAAGGTTTTAGAACGTTATGGTCAATACATAGAGCTTTTAGTCATGTCGACGCTAAAACGTTTTTGACTTTGTATACAGTGTTCGTTCGTCCTAAACTTGAGTACTGCATACAAGCGGCTAGACGCTGCTTAAAAAAAGACAGTGAGCTCCTGGAAAAGGTTCAGAGAACGGCGACTAAGCTGGTTCCCGGAATAGCGAAGCTTCCGTATGATGCTCGACTGGCCAAGCTAAACCTTTTCCCGTTGTCATATCGCAGAACTAGAGGCGACTTGATTACAGTTTTCAAATTGCTTATTGCCAAATTTACACCTGATATGCCCTCATTTTTCTTGTCTTCCAAAACAGAGAATTTACGAGGACACTCCAAAAAAGTTCACAAGCCCAGAACAAATTACTTGTCAGCTGATTATCGACTTTCCCATCGAATCATCAACGAGTGGAATTCACTACCTCAGCACGTGGTTGAGGCTCCATCCGTCGACTCTTTCAAAAGAAAGTTGGATCAACTGAGAGACCACCATTGTCAGGGCTAACATAGGCCATCGAGCCTCCTGTCCCTCCCAAACTGAAACTGAAACTGGTTATAGTGCGCTACTATGCAGTCTTAATATCTTCATTTATCTAATTAAATTAAGCAGTTATTAGTTAGGATAAACTTAACCTCCATACACAAACTTTTTCAAAGGAGCCGAATCGAAGAAGTTATAATGTATCAGGAAATATGTTTAAAATTCTATTGTATGTCGATAAGTTTGCTTTATATATTCATCTGCTTCGTTTCAACTCAATATATAGTTGAGAATAGTCTACAGTATCAAACCGAAGTCAACTATCCGAATGCCATTTGCTAGTTTGTATTACTGAAACAATATAATTTAGAAAAACGGGTATTTTTCCAGGGCATTTCTTATCTCTATTTTTTACAAATGTTTTATGTTATAACGCTACATTTTGGTTCACTGATATGAAATTAATTATTCCTCGTAATAATGTTTTATCATAGATTCAGTGTACATGGGACAATCATCATCATAAATCGAGAAATTCTAAAACAAAATATCAACAGTGATTATTTTCATACTTAATCAATTTGTAAGTCCGTTTTAATTCTATTAGGAATATGCTTGTTTAAGATTGCTTCAAAGATGCTGCAAAAAATATGTTTTATCAGACTCATACTAAATAAAATGAAGTTTAGAAATAAAGTAGGCAATTTAGTTGAAGTAACATTTATTGCCTAAATACTGAAGATTGTATTTGTACTTCATAAGACACTATTATGATTAATATTACCAATACAAAGTCCACTTACTCATACATTCTTCTTCCCCATTGCCAACTTAAATGGTCGGAAAATTGACATAATTTAATAGGTCTAAGCTTCTCTAAAATCTGTTTGAAATAAATTAATGTATCTCTATTCGGCGTATCGATTTGTATTGATTTGTCTGGTGGATAGATTTGAGTCAACTGATAAATTAATTCAATCATTGATTTTTGCCAAACTTCTCGTGCTATTTCAGCACTTCTTCTACGACTGGAATGATCATTTAAACAAATTAAACCTTTTTTTAAAAAAAGACAAGAAAGAATAAATTCATTCAATGATTTTACAAAGTAGTATATTCATCAAAATATGCAAATTTTAATTGACAGTGAAAATATTGATGACAGACTACTTTTAGGGCTCTAAATTAATTTCGGCTGTCACTAAACTAAATGGAACAAATATGTAGTATACTATACGGTGATATGTTACAGCAGATGTATGCCACATAAAGTTTCCTTTATTATTTATTCTCCCCGTTCCCACTATTAGTTAAATAATTGGATAATGTTAGACTGCAGCTGTACTTGATTCAGTGTTTTTTGATCCATCACAGAAATTCACCACTAAGTAGTAATTAATCTCATATTGTTTATTCTGCAGTGCTAATTGAATTTTGTCGAGAGAGCTTGTGATGTAGTTAATAAGTCAAATAACCTAAAATTACGATAGTTTACTTTATCTCAGCTCCTTCGAGGTTTCAGATAAGTTGTGCTGGTGTATATCAACCAACTTGAAAACTAAGTTCACGTTTACATTTCGATTACCTAGAAGTATCTGACAGTTTCATAAATAGCTAAGAAAACATGATCTTGATAAGAAAGTCATAAATGATGCTTATATAAAGTGAATGTTTATAGAAGTTTACCAGTATGTAACCTTTACAATGAAAGCTAATTTTAAGGTGGTTATAGCTAGGCATGATCGAAAAGACGTCTCTTAACGTTGACAGCGGTAAATACGAGGCTTTTTGTCGATTCTCTTAATAAGTAGATACCATAGGTTTTATTGTAAACATTTATTTCAATATCAATATAAAGTTCAACTTTGTAGAATTATGTCAATCCAAGTCACAGCACGTTAGATCAAATCAATTAAAGAAAATTAGCGAAACGAAAAGCAAAGGAATTGAAACACCTAAACCAGCGTTATTGTAAAACTAAATAAAAATGAAACGAATAAAATATTGGATCAAAAAAAATATGAAGTTATACCATGTTCGAAATTTGAGGACACATTAAAAATGAGCATATCTGCACCATTGTGATCATTAATTATTCACCATTCAAGACTTCCATCCATACGTTGTGATGATTTCATGAATCACATCCAGAAATTTAGCACCCATCGAAACAATAGTATTGACCTTAGTAGTTGCATACAAACGACGACAAAAACACCAAGTATTAACTGAAATGTTCGGGCAACTTTGTTTTCATTTACATTAAGCATCCTAGCCTCGAGTTCGACGCCATCCAAGAGAAGCATCAATATTAGTCTTAACACAAACATTTATATGCAAAACATAACTAATCACAACTTGAAAGTTGTTTCTGAATAGCAATAAAAATATGTGAAATTAGGATCACAGTCTCGTTATATCTACGCGAAAATGAAACAAATCTTTAACGGTTTCAAACAATCAAGGATTTCTGGGTAGTCAGGGGGTAAATATAAATGAAACCTCTATCAAGAATAAAGCTGGTCAGAATACGTATTTGATTAGTTTCGTAGTTTTAACTTTCAGAATTTTGCACTCCAACACAAAAACAAATTATTTACGTAGGATTTTTTTGATAATAATCATTCGAGAAAAAGCCAAATAGTTGTGAGAAACTTTGTTTAAAGTAGTTCTTTATACCGATCTTGAATATTTTCGTGAATGTATAGGGTTTATGGAAGTGTGTCAGTTTGAAATTAGTTCCACTTTGCACCTATAGAGGTTTAACAAACCAGGGAGCGATCTACTGTCGTCTAATTCTTGCTTTCTACTACTCAAAAGTGCCTACATACTGTTCTGACAATGATAGAATACATCATTTTTGGTTATAATGAACAAGTTAACATTCGCAGCTTCGGATAATTGACTATAAAGGCCTATTATCATCCAAAATATATCAATAAGTTTTTAATCCATGGACGAAGTAACAGAAGACACTTACCAAACATCCCGGGAATTTTTTTAAACATTGTTGATTCTGCAAGAACGTTATTATCAGATGATACTTTGTCCTGATTATCAGCTACCGTAAGGGAACTCATTGTTGACGGTGTATAAATCCAGACATAGTCTTCACCAAATAACGCTTTCAAATGTTCATGTTTTGTACCATTCAAACTATCTGCTATATAAAGCAGTGTATTTAGATCAAAGCTAAAGTGCAAATAAAATATTGTCTTTACATTGAAAGCATCAGTGAAATTAGTAAAAATATATGCATAGGTGTATTGTAAATATTTTTAAGTAATTAATTATATGGTGACTAGTATTCATACTGTCAGATACATACACATCTAGTGTTGTAAATCAAGGATCTGCGAACTACATGTTTTTAAAGCAGATTATTTGTGTTTAACTAACCTCATTGTAATAAAATATTGGGTTGCGACTAGAGCCTGAAATACATAGGTGTATGTAATGTTTGGTGATATCACCAAAGCCCTCGATAAGATATTTCATCTGGGAGTGAAATAGTAAACTTTAGGAATCAAAGACGAATTCGATTAATGAACCAAATGTATCCCAATGAACGTTGACAACGAGTGAAGGTACTCTGTTCTCGTGTGACGCTATGAAAGGTGGAATATTTCAAAGGATGACTTTAGGCTCTATTTACCGTTACTTCAAATGAATAGTATACCTGATTGCTTACAGATGATAGTAAACTATCCGGAAATATGATCAGTTAGGCTTGCAATTTTATTTTGAATTCCAAGATTACGTGGCCAAATCGATTATCACAAACATGTGTTGCAAAGTGAATCGTAGAAAAATTTTGAAGACTAACGTAACTATATAATACATTAGAAGCTTTAACTAAAGTTTACTGATTATAAAAGTTTAAAAGTCATACTGAGTAGTAGCCACAACATTAAAGACAACTGGAAGTCAATGTCTCCCGAAGGGTTCTCAGTATTTTGGATACTTAGTGAAATTCTTTAGAATATGGATAAGGATGTATTCAGAATGTTGTAACTGTGATATATATATATATATATATATATATATATATATATATATATCGGACATAGTTAAAATATTTGATTCAAGAAGCACTCCTTTATTTCAAATTCATAGTAAATATCCCAAAACTCGTTCAAAGAGGAGTAATAAAAATGTACAAAAGATTTCCATTCAAAATATGGAGGGTTAAGAATTAATTTTATATAATGCTCTCGTATATGGAAAGATCATTTTAATATTAACATACCGTATCTGTTTCTTTATTATATTACTGATTTCAATGGAAAATTCTTAGGAACTTGGGAAACTAACGTCAGTATGTTAAGATTGAAGCTTTCGACTTCTACACAACATTTCAAATAATGAGAATGCTTATCAAAACATGTAATAACAGCATCTGTCAGTTAGTTTTAATAAATATTCACTTAATTAATTGGTCAAAAATCACTAGAACTGAGAGCAAATATGTTTAATTTCATTACAAAATTATCAAGGCATAAATGTTTTATGTCATTTACAAACGACTCTCGATAAAAATAGTGTTCCATTGACTTCCGAATTTTAAAAAATAAATCGAAAGGACCCTAGCCTTTACATATTACAATGTACTTAAAAAAACCAAAATCTACCGGTTACACACAAGAATAATAACATATTTTTCTTGTTGTAAATTATATTTTCTATAACAAATGAATGAGCTGTTTATAGAAAGATAGTCCAGATTTTGGACTTTGAAAATATTCCTGTTTTATGGGGCTTTTAGACTAATTTTAATGAGTTATACATCATCAAATGAAAACATTTTCTAATGATTTGAGAATACACGTTTGCCCCAAACAACAGTGTAACATATGGTAAATAACTGATGAATTGATAACAAAATCTAGAAAATTAAACTTCTTGTATTTACACAGCTGTGCAGTATTTTTCCTTAGAAAATACTGCTTTTTTTTCTAAACATATATATTGCCAATAATTTTCACTATATTTATTCAAAAGAATAAAGGAATTCAGAAAGTCTTGTAGTTCTGAAAATGTTCTTCATTATTTTTTAGACGAACAATAAACTAAAAAGATACAGTACTATATAGTTTCCTGCTACAGATGTTTCTTGAGTGGTTAAAAAGTATTGTTTTACACCGATAGGCTTAAATGATGGAAGTTACATAAAGTTGTTCAACATAATTCTCGTCAAATATTTACTACATTACTTTAGGTGATTTGATGAATGTGACAGAAAACCCTAGATTTAGTCTTCATACTGGTCTAAGTTATAATCAAGGAAATATTTACAATCTTAATGGAATAAGTGCCTGCTGTCGAGTTGGAACAATTGTCATTCCAAAATAGTTGTCATAGAAATTATCATTAAGTCATTTAATTGTTTACTTATGAATTTAGAACCATGAAAATACATTTATAAATAGAAAGGAATTTCTTCTTAACAAGGGTCGTCTTCATTTGGTTGCAATCAAATTACATAAATGAGAGTGGATTTTAAATAAGTGATGAAAATAAAATTAATTTTGACAGTAACATAGTGTTTAAATCGCACAACTATATATATATATATATATATATATATATATATATATATATATATATATATATATATATGTTCTGTATTGAATTACAACTGTTAAGACTAATTCGACCTATATACTCATATTTATCTATCACATTTCATCATATAAAAACATATCATCAAGTTACATCGAATTATACGAAAACTACTATCGATTCTATAAATATTATTAATAAGACATTCATCTATACTTCCGTATATAAATCTCTTTTGATTAACTTTTAAATAATATGACTAAAACCGATGTCACTGATGGATGAAAAATTAATATTACAGACTTCTTGATCACCTTAAAGGGCACATCTCTAAAATTCTTCAGCTCTCAACTAATTAGCTAATTGAAAAACAGTCAATGGTATAATTGTATGGCTTCAACTCAACATTGAATGATGTAAGATTCTGTCGCGAATAGTTTCAACTTACATGTTTATAGATTTACATAAGCTGATAACAAAGTACTCTGATTTGATTGATTTCATACAACAAAATGTTCTATACATTTCAAGGATAAATCTTTAAGTAATAAACCTACTTAGCAAAACTGCTACATCTTACCCGGAAGAAATAGTAAACTGAATTGTTGACGTTCTTGGCATCCGTGAGTGAAGTATGTTTGCAATAGTTAGAGATTTCATTGTTGCTTTTATCCTGAAGTCATTTTTGTTCAACAGTGAAACCCAACAATTTAGGGATTTAACATTTTCAAATTAAGCACCAGGAATAGAAAAGCAAGATGAGCGCTTTTAAATACCACGTACTTCTCAAAGCTTTTTACTATCCAACTGATGATATTAAAGACTAAATTTCATCACTACCTAACGGCATTTGTATATTGTGAATGTATTCGTTGATATTTCATGCAAATATAGTTCTCCGGAAACCAACTTAAATTGGAATGTAATACTCGCATTTCATACTGTCTGGGACTCGTCAAATACAAGCCAGTTACGGGGTGTTTTAAGAAAATAACGTTATTTTAAAGTTCCTCAACTTAGTGTCAGACAGTCACTTATTCACAGGTCGAGTGAATCATATACAATAGTTTTGATATCTTACATTATTACTATACCATAAAGGCGGAAATCGAATGCATTACGTATTTACATTCTTATGAAATGTTTTTTTCTCGGAATTATAATTTATCTTCGAAATCATTTCACATTATAAACTATCACAACGTATACAGTTTACAGCAGTCCCATGATATATCTACTGATATTAAATCATTATTACACTGAGTTGAACATACGTCTAAACCTTATTTTCTCTGCATTTAACGTTTTATTGAAAGTAAAAGTAAATTGTTAAGTTGATTATATAACAAGCTCTAATCAATAAAATAAACTTACAAATTCCCATTGAATATAATAACTCTTGCATCGGCGCGCCATATGCTTTCTAAAATATTAATTAATGGTATTAAACATGGTCGAATCTCCCTTAACATTTGATCTATACATTCTGTAAATTCAATAGAAGTCAATCCTTCAAAAGGAAATTGATAATTTATTTCAAATCTGTAATATAAATGAAGGAAATAAATTCGAATCAAAATAAGTAATCTAGCTAGGTATTCATATTAGCGACTGAATGCACACCTAAGCATATTCTTATTTTATTTAATGATAACTACGGATATGTTTTAACAATACTGAATTGGGAGTTTGAGAGGTCACTCAGAATATCACTGAAAAGAATAAATGAATTTAAAGTTGAAAACTGAAAAAGTTCGGATGAAAACTAGACAATCTATTTATAGTATGCTGAAATTTTTAACGACTTTTTTTGACTCATTTGAATTCAGTAAGAATATGTGACAAGAATAATTTGTCATTGTTTCCGGAATTTTCTCGAAGGATCTTCTTATTAAATCATCGTTTTGTACTCGGAATAACGTATCGAATAAATCTTTAGTAAGGAATAAATTTATTTTACGAACGTTTAGACGCTGTTAATAATCAAAATAAAACGAGAGTGTACAAAAGGCGATTTAAACATCCAAAAGTTCTATGTTAAGGAATAAAATAATCATAAAATAAAAAGAGTAGCTCGGGGATCTGAATACGAAATGGTTAGTAATCAAATTGGAAAAGAAATATGCGAAACAAATTGGCATAAAGTTATAACAACAAAGGTAATGATGAGATATTGGTATAACTATAGATCAGAGTTAAGAATACATATGTTAACATAATGTAGTTAACTTTCACAACGGACTTATTAGAAACTAGTTGAATCATAAATGTTTTGACCGAGAAAGATATAGTCGACGGTATTGCATCACTTGTATACAATCTGAATTGTTAACCATTGATTGTTAAGTTAGTGATCTAAACGTATGATGTTTGTCACAATAATTGAAGTTCTTAATTCGACAATTATGGGCTGATTTACATACAAATGTAACAATTCTTCTGGATTTTCTCGTTTTAAATGGTTTTGTAACTTATAAATTTGTGACTAAAACTAACTTTCAACATTTTGTTACTTGATTTTTCCTTTATTTAAAATTCAAAGTTGAAATGTATCATATTGTTTAACACCTACATGGTAGTGGGGAATTATACTATGCTGTGTGTTCCGATGCATTATCTAAACGTCGAGCTGATTATCAATGACTTTCTCTTATTAGATATTGGATACCGGTATATAGTTAACATGAAAAATAACAAGTATCGTGAAACTTAGAATCAAAAATCGCTTTGTATTTGTTTTATTCGATTGATGTCAGTCTCATTTATGTTTTCAGTATACATGATTCATTATGGTCTTACTATTAGTCAGAAATTTAGTAAAACGCCAACTTACTATTTAAAACAATGATGGAGTAAAATAAATGAAAGACAATAAATTTATATTTACGATAAATTACTTACTCGAAGTAATTTGGATGATCTTGTGCACTTCGTTCAACTTGGAGTTTTCTAAATTCCTCAACTAATACATCTGATCCAGGTACTTGTGTATTGTAAACCATGATAACAAGATTCCATTTATACGCATGCATAAAATCAACCAATGCTCTTGCAACATGCCATGTTAAAGGTTCTAATCGAATAGCTAATTGTGAATCATCAAGCTAATTAAACCAAAATTGAATTGGGAAAAGCAAATATATATAAATAATGTACCCCATATAAAATAAACTTATAAGAACGACAAAAAGTAAAGTGCTTGGATACTATGTGAGTTATTTGTTATCATAACTTGATTTCATATTTGCAAAATTTTCAGTAGGAGTGGTATTACTACATAAGACAGTCTGTTTTGAATGTATATTCATTCTCGGTTGCAAAAGCCGTTTCAGATGAGGATAGATTCCAACACGCATGTATTTAAATTCAAAACGCTCAAATGGTATTTTACTGTGTCTACTGAAGGACAGTAGGAATTACTGGATACGTTAGTTTAAAGTATGAATCAAGTAAGTGTTGTGTTGTATAACCGTAAATGATAAAGTCGCATCAGGACGAATGAGGTTATATACCACTAGGCAATAATTGGATCAATTCTACAAATCATCAGTAGACATTAAAACTCTCGGTGAAACATTATATTTACTTTCAAGTTTTCAACGAATTGTGATATTGAAGCCAACAATTTTTTGAAAGTTTCAGCAGGTGAACTTGTAGTATTCAGTTTCGTGATCTTATGGTGTATACTAGATGGCTGGCCGTCATGTGACGACGAAAGATAAATAGCTCAATTAATATCTATCATTTCTTATCAGTCCGTGTGTATTTACCAACAATTAATAAGTTCAAAAGAATAATGTCTAAACTCGTGAATCAGTCCTGATGAAGGGTCTTAAAATAAAATGGGACATTTTTGTCAGTCCTTTCTGATTTAAAATTTTCTGAAACTGATGGCTGTTTGGAACGAATACTAAATTACAATGGAACAATATCCATGTTATACTGGTAATTTGATCAGATAATCATTACCAACTCGAAACAGATGAATTCACCAAACAATTAACTTGATACAAAGCTAAATTCAAAAATAAAGAAAACTATGCTATTAACATTTGCAATATTACCATAGGGTTGTGTGTAGGTGACCTCTTTGAATTTCTGGGCTACGTATTTCTGCCATCTGGATATTTCAACAAGTTACCTGTTTTCTTGTTTGTTTTAACACATCATTATGTATATTAGTCGCATAACCTATCTAGGAGCGTTTGTGACAAGTTTACGACATCTCGCTGTACAAGTTACAAAAGAGTCCAATCAGAGTCATCGTGGTTACTGGCAATATGCATCGAAAAAAATGTATATTATTCAAAAGTCGATTCCGGAACTGCTAAATTCTAACTGGCGACTACTCAATATTTATCTCAAGGTTCGATCAGGAAATAAGAAAAGAAAACTTGTTGAAATACATAATGCTAAGAATTCTTTATTGTACCAGAAATAAAATATTGAATGAAGCCAATAATAATGATATTTGCCACAACAGATGTTCTCAAATACTGAAACTATTAATCTAGGAATTGATCCTTAATATAAATTTCAAAGATATCATTTAATTTCACATGATTTTATTGATTGAGATCTTGAACCGACTGATTTTAGACCATCATTGAAAACCTGGAAGCACTGGACGGCTATTCCGTCCTATTATAAGACTTTTAGGCAGCGAGCATCTACGATCCCGCTCGCGGGATTCGAACCCAGGGCCTTCAGTTTTGCGTGCGAAAGCTTAACCTACTTGACCACCTAGCCAGCGTTTAAGTGTGTTAATGTCTAACCTCGACCAATTCACGAAATCGCGCGACCATCTTCCATTTTACTGAGGTAGATACCTGTCTCGGCCCGACAGGGAATATCGCGTAATGCTGAGGAGTCCCACTATAGGACGAAACGGCCATCTAGTGCTTCCAGGTCTCCCATTATGGTCTAACATCAACTGGTTCAAGATCTCAATCAGTAACTCAATGATCTCCACAACCCTATACTGACAATCACATGATTTTAATTGATTATCTAATACTTGATAATGTTATCTGTTGAGATGAATAAATAAATTGTGTAAAAACAATCTCTGAGATCTAGTTTTTAAAGGAAACTTAATCATGATTGAACTTTTAGAAAACTTGTATTCGAACAATGTAAGTACTCTTAGTCTCTTATATTTTAATCACTTTAAGAGATTTGTGTAAATTATAAATTTTAGTTGAATATCCATTTTTAATTGCAATCTGATTTAGTTATTCGAACAATTGAGAAACGAAATGACTTTAAATACATATTTTGCACCATTTCATGTCCAGTAAACAATGTTCAGTTTTAATCTTAACTTATAGCTGAACCCATAAGACTTATCATTGACGTAATACAAGTAATTGTAAATAGCTTCTATATTCATTAAGTTTTTTGCTACGACTTCATTTATTATATTAAAATTATTCATGTTGATGATCTGTCATTGGCAATGGAAAATTATGTTTAGTAATTGTAAACAACTTTATAATGATCCCTACTGATGACATTTAATAATTAGTGGCATCAAATCATACATGATATTCATTAGTTTTGGTCATGTTGGATATTTCACAACATATATAAGCTATATGAGAACGCATATTTTTCTATTTTTAATCAGTATAATAGTTTACACGATCTCCTTATTTACAGATTATCAAAGTGTCTTCACTTCTTACTTTGTATAATCCCGTTGGACCGTAAAAATTATCGGACCTCATCTTTTTCCGAAATAAAAGCTTTATTCCTTATGATAAGAGATTGTCGTCTAATTATTTTACAAATGGTCTGACAGTGAGCAAATGGACTGTAGAATTCTAGACAAATTGTTTCACTATATCGTGTGACAAATTGAAATTCAAGGGTTTGATTTGGTTCAGAGCAATGACAACTTTGTGTTTGTGAGGATTTCCTATCTAGAACAGCAATACTTTTTTAGATGATATCTATGATAAAAAAAACTATTACAAATCTGTCGTTTACTCCTAAAATATGGACTGTGTTGAAAACATATGACGTAATAACTTATAACAACGTGTAGTAGTGAAAATCACCGATCTATAAAGTTATATAAGTATCATGAGTAGTGAGGGAATATGTTTACGAAAAAATAAACGAAAAACATAGTTTTTTTTAAAACTTCTAAATAATGCATCTGGATATACGGTTAAATAGGATGATCTAAGTCAACTTGACTTTGTTCTTGTCTTTTTTCAGTAGATAAATAACTAACGAACTCATTTAAATATATTTTAGTTATGTTTACAACATCTCTGAAGCTAACAAAAAACAATACTTATTTTTACAGGGTGATAATAATACTGATAATAAACTTATGTTATACATGGTGACAGTGAGGTTAAATAAGCAAAGGTATTAGAAAAATGTTTTAAAACAAGGAAAGTTTGATGGTTAATGGCTTAGATATTCATCGGGTAAGGGTAGCTCAGCATGATAAAATAACATAAAATGTTGAAACAGAGATGAAATATAATCGGAATGATCGTGGAAATAAAAACAAACCGGTTGGGGGTATAAGATTTGAAGGGAAGATGGAAGGTGAAGCAGGTGGCTGTAAAAGAACAAGAGTAATGAGAAAGAGAAAAATTTTTTAATACATTAAGACCATGGTAAAAGAAGAGACTGTATCAGTCTCTTTTGTACACATAATTCTGGTTTTTCAAAATGTATGGCTATTGCCTCGGCAATGCAAAGAAGATGCAGTCTAATTGTCTTAGGAAAGCTTCTACTTACCTTGTAGATGACCTTGAACGCAGAGTCTGTCTTGATTGAGTGACCTGTGTTCACAAGGTGTTCGATTATAGAACTTCTTATTGAGCCGCTGCCTCCTCTTCTTAGCCACGCCGGACAATGTTCTTGAATTCTTTTGGATAAAGTACGCATCGAACGACCTATATACCTAGCTCCACAAGAGCAGGTAAATTGGTAAATGCACATTGAGTTGGTCAGATGCGATAATTTATCTTTCAGATTATTGGTGAACAGTGATCGGCTGGAGAATAATATTTGCAATGTTGCTGCGAAGAATGTTCTTTTTAAAGAATCTGAAATTCTCCTCTTTAAGATATATGCGGCTCTATCAACTTTGAAGTCGATGTTCATGTATAAAATTTGAAGAAAAGAAAATTTTATACATGAACATCGACTTCAAAGTTGATAGAGCCGCATATATCTTAAAGAGGAGAATTTCAGATTCTTTAAAAAGAACATTCTTCGCAGCAACATTGCAAATATTATTCTCCAGCCGATCACTGTTCACCAATAATCTGAAAGATAAATTATCGCATCTGACCAACTCAATGTGCATTTACCAATTTACCTGCTCTTGTGGAGCTAGGTATATAGGTCGTTCGATGCGTACTTTATCCAAAAGAATTCAAGAACATTGTCCGGCGTGGCTAAGAAGAGGAGGCAGCGGCTCAATAAGAAGTTCTATAATCGAACACCTTGTGAACACAGGTCACTCAATCAAGACAGACTCTGCGTTCAAGGTCATCTACAAGGTAAGTAGAAGCTTTCCTAAGACAATTAGACTGCATCTTCTTTGCATTGCCGAGGCAATAGCCATACATTTTGAAAAACCAGAATTATGTGTACAAAAGAGACTGATACAGTCTCTTCTTTTACCATGGTCTTAATGTATTAAAAAATTTTTCTCTTTCTCATTACTCTTGTTCTTTTGCAGCCACCTGCTTCACCTTCCATCTTCCCTTCAAATCTTATACCCCCAACCGGTTTGTTTTTATTTCCACGATCATTCCGATTATATTTCATCTCTGTTTCAACATTTTATGTTATTTTATCATGCTGAGCTACCCTTACCCGATGAATATCTAAGCCATTAACCATCAAACTTTCCTTGTTTTAAAACATTTTTCTAATACCTTTGCTTATTTAACCTCACTGTCACCATGTATAACATAAGTTTATTATCAGTATTATTATCACCCTGTAAAAATAAGTATATATATTTGCGATTGTACAGCTTTGAAAATGAATTCGCCGAAAAGAGAACTCTTCGCTGAACTAATCTTTCTTTCTTATTTAATGTCATAATGGGTGTATGCCGTTTATT